TGGGAATGAGATGATTCCATCCGAAACCAAGCCATATGAAAACGAATGTATCTTCTGGATCGAGTGACACAATATATTGAACACATTCGTCAACATCATCAAACTCATATGTGTCAATTCCAATAGGCTGTAGTTGGTCTATAGAAGTGTTATCGTGATGAGCAGATCGCAAACAAATAAGTTTAACATCTTCTGTTAAAGCAAGATGATCATTCATTGTATAGATATGAAGAAAATCGCAGTGACGAAATAAATGATGCTTGGTGTATAAATCAAATACTCAGACAAATTTCTTCCGAGTCGTTCGTTTTATTATGTGTGGTCTCTCTACAACTAACTGATTGGCTGTTCGCGCACTGTTTCAAGTTTCAGCTATTCTACTTACGTATGGATTGATACTACTTTGAAAAGCAATCAAAAGTAAATATTTAGTTTGTTCGGAAGTATATCGGTATTCTTATCGTCAGAGGAGAGAGCATATTTTGTTGTAGCTATGGTAAAGAACAACTTTCTATCAGAATCAGCAATGAAGAACGAACCAAAAACATTTTCAATCTTACAGCTTTGATTCGAATTACTACAGCTGACTCTACGAACGTGTTGGGAAAGGTCTATATTTATAACTGAATGGATGCCATATGTCAATTTTCAAATAATTCCAATTCATATAGTAGATGAATTTTGACAGAATAAACAGATAAGTGGATTAAATGATTAAGTGGACATGAGCCAATGAAAAGAAGTTGGTAAAATATTATTTTTAATAAAATCATCGTTGTAAAGAAAATAACAGGATGCAATTTTAATCGACTCCGTATGTATTATGTATAGATGTTAGGAATCGACATTGTTCTCATAAAATAATTATCAAATGAGTTTCTCGATTTCTGTCGAGTGAAATTTGCGATCTGCGCCTTGACTGTGTAAGTCAGAAAATGTAAACTGGGCTGGGTGAAACCAAATCTTTAGAGGTTCATTACATTGAAATCTATGCTGGTATTTATCGGTTTTTCAGCTCAAGTTTGTCAGGCTTCCTACAAAGTCAAGACTTGAAATGGATTTTTTGCATGAAATGAAGATTTTTTCTTGTATTGCACACGCCTCTCGACAATTGAACTCTTTTTATTCACATATGTGACTTGGTCAGATGTTTCCCAGTTTGGTGTCACAAAGGAACCGACCGAACCCGATGAAAAACTCGCTCAATTTTAACTCTGATTCAAACGAAAGACGTGAAGAGAAGAGTTTCTCTGTTTTAGATGATCGTTGTAGAACGTTTCATCTTTTGTTCACAATGAACAACGTCCTCTATGTAACATTTATTCATTCGATGGATTGTCTATTTTTGTTCTTTTCTTGAACATGAGTTGCACAGTATTTCCTTTTCTTCTTCTCATTCTCAAAACTCATCGGAAATGGTTTCTTTTATCTTTGAAATGTATGATAATATGCTTTTTCTTTTAGATATTCTTCTGCATTGCTCAACAATGGTTGTTAAAGCTGACCCAAACACAATTGTAAGTTTACATGGAGAGCAGTGTTTTTTTTTCAACGTCTCGAAGAATTCTATGAACAAAGGACAATCGTATTCTGAAAATTCTACTATTTTTTTTTCGTTTCTATGAAACTTTTTAACAAAGATCGTCCGATAATATTTCTTCGTGAATTTATGATAAAGTTGCGTTTATTTTTCTTGTTGTTCGAAGATCAATCACAAAGAAATCAACATTCGATCCAATGATCGCTTTCCAGCGGGGATCTGGTGGCTGGCGTAGCATTTTTTTTCTGGTTTCGTTGTGCTGTGGATGGTTGGTATTGATCTAAAAGTACGTATGAAAATTTCTGTAAAATGAATGAAATAGTACGTAACCGGTCTGAAGTTGAATGAACAAATGGAAAAAGTCTGAAATGGAAGTGTTGAACGAAGTAGAAAAGGAAGAAAAACATTTTCAAATATGGAAAAATAATCTATTTTTGACTTTTTCTCTAGGACCTTTCCCATCCCAATCAATTCTGGAGTCGTTTATTTGGAATATGTTTGATTTGTATCAGTATTCTATTTCTATTAATGGCTTTACTTCTGTTATTTGCACAAGTTTATTTTTTATATAAATATTTTCAAAAGAAATGGTTTTCCAACAATAAAAGTCAAGTAAACTTTTGATGCAATGAAACATGATTTAGATAATCAATAGGATCGTTTATTCTTTAGATAAAGAATTCAGTGGTTAAATGGAATGTGAAATTAAGTCATCTTTATAAGAAATTTGCATCTTCAATTGATCCTCGGAATGAAACGGAAGAAATAATTGTTTAAAGGAGATCTTATCTTCATTCACTAATGAAAAGATCTAATGTTAGTCATCGATTTTTGTACATATTTTGTTGAATATCCTTATTCAATGTAAATGTTTTTTATTTTTACGATGCTTTCGAAGAAAAAACGAGCGGGATTAGAGTAGCATAACCCGACGTTGTTGATCTCTGACCTGAAAACATTGAATATATCGGTCTTCTATTTCAAGTTGAATTCATCAAATTGTTAAAGAGCAAAACCATCTCTGGCATGTGTCAAACCTTGACTATGTGATTTTGTTCATTAAAATGCATTGTATTCTCTATTAATGTTTGATGCTTTATTGTATTCGAATTTTCCCAAGTATATTAGATAGACCTTATTATCTATGATAATGGCTATCACTCTCGTTTTCATGTTGTTGTTTTGTTTAAGTTTGAAAGTCTTTTTCTTTGTTTTTGGTATAACAATGATAATTTTAAAGAAGAATATTTTTAATTGATTAACAACAATTTATTTATCTCGTACAGCAACCGCATGAGAATGATATTTAAAGAACCAATCCTTCAATACAATGCATAATAGTCATATTAATGTCGAAGAAATGACTGTTTTGCAAGTGCATTTCATGGACACATTTATGGTATATGAAAACTTATTAGTAAATTCTATTGAGAGATGAGAACAACTCGTGAAGGTTTTAAAAAGTTACGAATATGAACAATAGATTGGCTTGTATCACTTTTGTCTTTTATCAGAATTTAATTCCCATACAAGCAAGGTGATGATGATTCACACAAGGTATTCTCATATAGCGTAAATATCTGGATGTTCAATCGAACCCACATTGACTCATGTTTATACGTCAAGTATAGATGAAACGTTTCGTTTTTCAAAAGGAAAAGTCGATTGATTTATTAGGCCAATCGAACTAACAAAACGATTTTTTCAAAAAATATCAATATGCATGGCTGAACAAAAAGAACGAACCATGTCATATGAAAAAACAACAAAACTAGATACAGTTGTATTTTTATGATTGGATTGAAGGTGAATGTTCCCAATTGGCTTCTTCAAGTTCTTGTTCATTCTCGATTGGTATCGGTTCAATAACATTCACCTGTGTCAAATACGTTGCGAACAGCAACAAAAACAGCGCTAATAGCACATCAGTTACCTGAAAAATATCCATATCGATGATAGTTTGCTTTAATGGCGAAAAAAAATAATCGGGTAAATACTTACTTGCAAAGCTGTAAAATACAAGAGTTTTCTTATCGATCAATAATCCCCAAACAGATTGAATAAAAACTATGACACCAAAGAGCATACGGCGTGACTGTACCTGAAAAAAATTCATTGAAAAGTGAATACAAATTCTTTCTCTACACCTTCTTCAATGTATTTTTAGATCATTACCCAGGTCGAACAATCCGGCACAGAAAGGGCCGGTTCCGGAGTATTCTGGAGATTTCATGGAAGCAGTATTCCGGATGAGCGGATCCGGTGACCGGATTTATCTAGATTGGGCCGGAAACGATTACCTCATTTCTCCGTCGGATTCCTGGCATTTTCCGGACGGGTTCCGCTAAGAAATAGCGAGTTTCTTCAGGTATTTTGACGGAAATTCATGGAATCCTGCTTCAGGAATCATCGCCCTGGGTATTAAAACAATCGCAAGTAATTGTCATCAACTGCAAAAATTACGCGGACACCACACATGATCATCACTGTGAACGATGAGCTCTGATGATGTATATATCCATATAACAAAGATTTGTGAACAAATGAGTCGAGAGAACCGATTATTTGTTGAAAATAGATCAACAAGTGACATTTGAAGAATCCAACAATGAATAGCTATGTAAAATTTATAGAAATCAGTAAAATATTCGAAAAATGCTTGTTTTTGTCGCCTTACAATTTCGAATATTTTGAAAAAAATTTCAATTAATTTGATTTTCTTCTTCGAAACACCACTTCCTGTACAGATGTATTTACTAATTAGTGTATCAAAACATTCACTAATTGGAACGTCTTCATAATTTGATGACATGATGCTTAACTAAACATACGCAGTTAGTTTCGCGTAAACGAAAAACTGAGTCAATTTACCGAGGTGATCGGATGCGAAAAGTGTGCGTCGAAAATAAACGAAAGCAAAAATGAAGATGGTATATATCGAAAGATAAGCTGAATACAACGAATATCAACGAGAAAATTCCTTTCTTTCTGATCTCTGCCACATGTTCCTCGTTCGAGGGTGACCTGGGCATATAGAAATGTAGATTTTCTTTTCTTTCCTTCAAAAACACGATGATTAGAAAGAAATTTCTTTTAAAAGTTTCAACATTATTCTTTGAAAATATTTTGAAAAATCGATGTGAACAACTGAAATCGATTTTCAATAGCTGTTCAAATGAAATTGTTTGTTTTTTAAAAAGAAAAATCAGTTCGATATGCATTTTGTTTAACCATGAATGATATGGCTATTAGGTGTGATTGATACTGTTCGATTCATATTGACCTACGTCTGACATTCGTTGAACATTTTCTGATTTGATGCTTTTCCTCTCAGTTAGTTAAATCTTCCACAATGATTGTTAAAATTGAAAAGAGTATACTTGTAAGTTTATTCAAAGAAGAGCTTTCCGAATGTACCTTTTCCCTTCCAGATCCTACAAGGCAATAACAATCACACCTATCTGTTCGTTTTCTGACGGATTGGATTTCATCGATTTTGAAAAAATTCAACGTTATTGTTTCTTAAATTGATTCTGTGAAAGCTCCATAGAATTATTCCCTTGATTGAAATAAAATCAGAATCGCGAAAATGTTTGTTAGTAACATTAATGATACATTGGTCATCATTAGAAAAAAGAATACGAAATTAGAAAAATACCATTGATCAATTGATGATACAGTGCAGTTTAATTCTTTTGATTTTTATTTAGAAAGAAACATTCCGACAATGTATAATTGAGTTTTATCACCCATCATGACGTTCTTCGTAAGTTGGATTACTCTTTTAAAAGGCGTCGTCAACGTTATGATGAGTAAGTAAGAACAACTAAATGACAATCATGTAATGTAAACATTGATCAGTAGATTAAAAGAAAAAGGTCACAAAACACGCTCTTTAACCCTTTGAAAACAGGTTTTTCCATAAAGACAATTTAATTTCTTATTACAGTAACAACAGAATTCTAGTTCAATTAGAAGTCACTATCAATCTATTCGACACAAACAGTGAGTCACTTGATGATTCACTAAAAGAATTTATTTTAAGTTGTTTCGACTCATATATAACCAGAGCTTAATGCTTATGATATCATCAACTTCTGAACAGTACTCGAAGTGTTATATTTCCTATGCAGATCTCCAAAGAGTTAATAGAGAATGGAATGACAGATGGTACATTGATTTACATTGGAAAAGATCTGAATTGTTCGAATATTTCCATAGATGAGAGAAATTATCGACATATTCTGCGAAACCTTTGCTTTGGTGTTCTATTTCTGTTGTTTGGTCAATTCATGCTGATCGTACGAATTCATTGTCTATTTCGATACTATGGAAAGAATCGATCTTCTACAAACAAATGTCAGGTAAGACTCATCATTCGAGTCTTTCATTTCATTTGAAAACAGAAAAACATATTTATTCGAGAATATCAATATTATTTTGTGTTTGTTAACAATTCGTGAAGAAGTATAAAATATGCATTAATTTTATTTTTGAATTTAAATCAATGACAATTCAGAGCGAAAAAGTTCATCGACCGCGTGAAATACGAGACTCGTTTCTATAATTATATGGCTTTTGTGTTTTTTAATCATAATAGATTATTATCTTTTCTGCGTATTGATATACATAAGAAATGACTTGATGTTTCTATTCACAACGAATACTCAAATTGTTGTCAGATGAATGTCAATGTGCATAGTGGAATATATAATTACGACTTGAACAAGTTAAATTCGCGTCTTAGTGTTCAAGTTTCTTCCAGTTTTTTGTTTCATTAGTTTTCCGATCCACAACAACATTTGCTTAATTGGAACTAAATAAAGCATACATTTACGGAAAGACAATCATTTATAACAAGTTCTCTTATGAGTCTTTTTCTCCTCTGTGAAAACGAGACGATATATCTTGTTCCGTGTTGAAAGTCATGCCTTTCAAGAGACGAATACAAAGAGCGAAGAGTTTGTCATTTCGGATGAATATCTTCTATTCGTTTACACAATTGAATATATAAAAGCTAGGGATGTTTAGCGTATCTTCAACTATTGATATGCATTCCATGTTTGCGCACGCTATTTAAGGTTTCGTAGCATTTCAATCCAATGAATAAAAGATTCTATTTCATGCAAAAGAATGTGGGTAGGTGGATGATGTTGTAATAAGAGCCGACGTGCGCAATTGAAATTCAGTAATGCAGATTCGACATCATGTAGTTGGAAGAAAGCACGACCAATGGAACAATATGCTTTGACAATTAAGATTGAGTTAACTGGCAAGTTGCAGTCTTCAATTATCTGCCGATAATACATAATTGCCATCGGCCAATCTTTTTTATCCATATGATAATCAGCTGAAGTTTTCAGTACGTGTGCTTGAGGTTTGGTCGAATCATGAAGATCCTCTAGGATATTTTCCGAGTAATCGTTTCTATTTAGAGCAGTAGCACTTTTGATAATACTAGTCAAAAGATATTGATTTTCAGAGCTAGAATTCTTTAATAGGGCATCAGTTGATGATGACTGTACAGTCTGAAAACATTGTAAAGCTTTCTCGTGATTACCCCGACTAACTTCGACTGCACTCTCCATAAGTCGCACCGAGAGGAACGCAGGATGTGGTGATGGCATTCGGTACGACTTCCGCACTTCTTTTATGAGAACAATACATGCGACCATACTCTGATTTAGTTGCTCACAACCATCGTTGGACTCAAAGTAGTGTGAGATATTTGCCGAACATTGAAAAAGTAATGACATTATGTTATTCATAAGTTCACA